GTCCCGTGCAGTGGATTTCTCTCAGCGGAACGCCATGGATTTTATGACAGATCAGGATGTGCAGAGGGTGAGGATTACTTTCCCATACCGATGAAAATGACATGGAAGTGCAGTTTACAGTTAAATTACCAATGCTCAGTTAAATAATTAGCAATTTGATCACTGTTTGCTTCGAATAGAAAACAGTTTTACTTTTGCGATGTCGATTGTGCATCAGAAGCCTCTTCCGTATTATATATGGTAATAAGATTGTATTTTGTCGCTGTATTCAAATGAAATGCACATTTCAAGTTCATTGCACAACACCCTGCAGCCACAAGTGGTCTACTGACGTCAGCAAACGCCCCCTGTTTCAGCTAGGAGAACACCATATGTGCCCTCAGGAGTAAATTCCCCATTTTCCAACACTTACTCTGTTCTTGTAAGCTACAGAAAAGCAGGAACTAACCCAGGCCATGCTGTAGTCTTGTAATCTTGCCGTAGTTTGCAAGCTTATAAGATAATATTTATAAAATATATATGTACTTAAACTATCCGATGGCAACTATTTTTCAACACATTCTCTCCGGTTGGGTTAAATCCTACGCAGCAGAAAACAGAACAATGCTGCAGGGCGGACAACAATTAAAACATGTTTTTTTCCCTCTTGTTGGATTATGATGCAGCTGTCATCCTTAAGAAATCAGTAACACAAGACACTCATTAGCCAAGAATAAAAAAAACAAAACTCAAATATTTTATGCAGCTGCTTTAATGTAATTATGCAATTTTAAACTGGGAACCGGCCTTAATATGTAGAATGTGTTTCACGTCTCATGGCTGTGAATTAAACTCTGGGTGTGACTTCAGTTTGAAATGTGAAAGAGACCTTTGTGTGAAAAGCAGGCATGAAAGGTCGAAAGGACGAGCCTCGGTGCTTCCGTTATTGCTCCTTCTGTCTGTAAACGGCTCAAATTTCCTTGACAGTACCAGGAGGATGGATACGTGGTTCTGGACGGGCTGCTGACCTCCCAGGAGTGTGATGAACTGAGGCAGAGGATGGCAGAGATTGTGGAGCGGATGGATGTCCCCGAACACTGCCGCACCACCTTCTCCACCTACCATGATGAGCAGCTAAAAACACAGGTGACCCAATGACCAACGCTGCACAGGATCTTTAACACTGTCAGCTTTCCTTTGAACAATGTTTCTTTCACATGCTTCCAATGACATCACCACTTGCAGATGCAGGTAAGGCAGCTGAGTGCGCACCCTCCTGTAGTCTTTCTACAAAATTAGCTTCACATTTACAGTTATTTGCCTCGACCTCTTTGACCCTGCAAGCAGACTCTTATGTCAACAGTGTAGTCAGTGTCAGTGTCTTTCCACTCTGACCTGCAGGGAAATGCTGACTATTTCATCACAAGTGGAGATAAGATCAGATTCTTCTTTGAGAAAGGGGTTTTTGATGACAAAGGTGAGTTCCAGTGAAATTCTTTCTACACTGTCTTTCATTTCTCATGCTGTGAAACTCCAAAATGAGATGATGCTTTTCTCACCTTGCAGGGGAGTTTATTGTACCCAAGCAGCGGTCACTAAATAAAGTTGGACATGGTGAGCTTTTGGGGTTTTCCAACAACACATAGCCTATAAACTGTTGCATAAAAATCTCCTAACTGCTAGGTTTTTTTTTTCTTTTAGCACTGCATGCCTATGAGCCGTTGTACGAAAAGGTTACACATTCGCCCAAAGTCCAGGTGAGCTAACAGGTTGACGGAGTGAAAGAATGATTTACTGAGTCACAGAATAACTAACTGTCCAATGAAATGTCATTCTCCTAGGGCATAGCTAAAAAGCTGGGCCTAGTGAGTCCTGTGATTCTCCAAAGTATGTTCATATTTAAGGTAAATGGCCTTATACTGTTAGACAGTGCTACATAATGACTTATTAAAACGTAAAGACTGAAATAAGAACCTTATCTTTTACAGCAACCAGGCATCGGTGGGGAAGGTAAGAAAATTCAGCAGAATATTTTTGTCAGTAATGAGTACACATTCCCGATCACATTTTTTAACCAAAGATCCCTTCTTATCCTTATTTCTGTCTCATATTAAAGACACTCAAATTTGGTATAAAAACACGAAAGTAAAAGCAAAAAAACTGACATAAAAACCTTGTAAATAATGGAACATTTACGCCGTGGCCACATTATTAGGAATACCGGTAAAATTTGTTTTGCCATGAATTCCACCTTTTGTGAAACGTACATCTTTTTGCCTTTTGTTGATGGTAGTTTATGTTAACGGGGTGCCAAAATACTGCCATGACATTTCATTCTACTGAAAGTGAGGCATGAAAGTGACTAGCCTAAACACAGGTTAGCGTTATTCTAAATCCCATCAATATTTGTTTTGTAATGAAGCTGAATTTAAGTCGCAGTTGGAACCTTGTTAAAGTTTAAAAGGTTCAGTGTTTTCCAGATGCTGTATAATATGACCTATATTTCGGGAGGCCATCCCATGACTGAAAATGTTTAATTTTGAAATTTATCCCTAAACGATGACAGAGCATCCACCATGTCTGCCACTTCTTTCTGTCCAGTTTCCTCAAATTCTTTAAGGACACACTGCACACTTTTGGCTGATAGCTGATTGGGAATTCCAGTGTCACTGACAAAATACGGTTTTATGGAAAGGAAATTAGAGATTTATTTTATGTCAGGCTTCTATTAACAAAGTAAATACGGTTCATCTGGTTAGTTAGATGCAAAACCTATAACAAAACCTTCAGTTTAGAGGTGGTTGTCTGTATACATTCATATAATTTTAAATTATATCCATAGCGGATTCTCATGTGTTTCTTAGTGACTCCACACCAAGATGCTACATTTCTGTACACGGAGCCCCTGGGCAGAGTTATGGGGGTGTGGATTGCCCTGGAAGATGCTACTATTAACAATGGCTGTCTGTGGTTTATCCCAGGATCACACAACAGTAAGTATCTACCAGAATGTCTGTATAGTGTATATGTTATCCAGCTACTGCTCTGCCACATATTTCTGAAATAGTTTTTAAGGTTTATTTATTGCATGTTATAATTTAATATTTTCTCTTTTTGCCCCAGGCGGTATCACTAGACGTATGGTGCGTACTCCAAAGGGCACCTTTCCCCTGACCGACTTTATCGGTAGAGAGCAGACATACGATGACGAGAAGTTTGTTGCCGCACCAGTGAAAAAAGGTCATTAGCATAAATCTAAATTTAGTCGGTGATTGATGGATGCATTTTTGAATTTTGTGACATTTTGCAACTGAAATTGTAAAAAAAAATGTTGTTGCTTATAAAGAAACTTTTGACCGTCGACAGCTCAGGACAGTTCACCTTAGATTAAATGCCATGAGTTTTTTTCTTTTTCTGCACTGTTATAAAAATAATACACACCAAACACCATATTGACACTTTTTTTTTTTGTTTAAATTAACAAAAAAAAAGTGACTTATCAAAGTCTGGAAGTTCTGGTAGTTTAAATTAGATTTTTTTACATTTGGAGTCTTTATGCTAAGCTAAGCTAACTGGCTAGCTGCTTTAAACATGCTAAGAATTGCATTAATCTTTATATTCTCTACCTTGTAAACTAAGTTCAGTTCAATTAAATGCTATTTATATAACCAAGTCACAACAATGTGCTTTATAGTGTAAGGTAAAGAAACTAGAGAGAAAACCCCAACAATCAGATAACATCCTGTGAGCAAGCACTTGGCGGCAGCGGGAAGAAAAAAACTCCCTTATAACAGGAAGAAACCTCCAGGAGAAGCAGCCGTCTGCTGCGACCTGCAAAATGTTTTCAGGTCTTCAAGTCTGAGGAAATGCTGAAACAAAAACATGACTGTTAGAATAATTGGTCAGAAAAGTAGAGTTAGCACTGCATTACTGAAATAAAGCTCTTCAAGTTGGTCAGCTGTTGCTCATTCCCTTGTTCAGGTGGTGTTATCCTGATCCACGGACAGGTGGTGCATCGAAGTGCTGAAAACACCTCTGAAGAGTCTCGTCATGTCTACACCTTCCACATCATGGAAGCCCAGCAGACCCGCTGGAGCCCTGACAACTGGTGAGACTTTATCCGTGTGGGCTGGCCTTGTGACATTTCTTTTATTTGACTACATATTTCTGGCAAGTGATTGTCTCAGTTAACATGTAGTAAAATAGAGATGTTCCTCATTAATTTGTTTAATGTCAGTTTTGTGTTGATGCACACGTCAAGTAGACTTCAAATAAGCACAGATTTGTTTAGAGCAACCCTTGTGTGTGTTCATACAACATATCTAGATTTGTATATGTCAGCATTTAGTTTTGTATGGAAAATCAGTGTTCTCTCATTAATGCAAACTTTATGAAACAAGATGCTCCAAAGAAATTTCCCAAGCCTGACCTGTCCATCTTATTTCCATCTCTTTGGTCCTGTAAGGTTGCAGCCCACTGAAGACCTCCCTTTCCCACCTCTCTACACTTGAAGGATTCTTTGGCATCAGGTGCTGCTCCCAAAGAATAACCAGCATCTATGATATTATCATCAAGGAAAAAAAATCAGATAATACTGTTTCATTAACTTCCCAAAGAATGGCTGTGCTTGCAATATTCTTCTGATAAGGGTAAAAGGATCTTATTACACAAGAAAACTATAGGCTGAATCCTGAGCTCAGCCTATTGTTCCTGTATCGATCGTTGCCAAGTGTTATTCATGACCCATAGAAAAAATAGACATGTATAAATAAGATATACTACCAGTCAAAAGTTTGGACACACCTTCTGATTTAATGGTTTGTCTTCATTTTTATGGCTGTTTACATTGTAGATTCTCACTGAAGGCATTGCAACTGTGAATGAACACACATGGAATTATGTAGTTAACAAAAAAAATGTGAAATACCTCAAAACATGTTTTATATTTTACATTCTTCAACATAGCCACCCTTTGCTTTGATTGCTGCTTTGCACACTCTAGGCAGTCTCTCAATGAGCTTCATGAGATTATCACCTGAAATGGTTTGTGTCCAAACTTTTGACTGGTAATGTAAATCCATCCATTTCTCTAAACTTGAACAATTTGGAGTCACTGGGCTACTGAGAGGTGGCTACACCCTGGACAGGTTCAGTCTATTGCGGTCTATTCACACCCATGGTCAATTTAGAACCACCAGTTAACCTAACTTACATGTTTTTGGAGTGTGGGAAGAAGCCGGATTACCTGGAGATCACTCACATAGGCATAGGGAGAATAGACAAACTCCACAGAGGTGGTCCCCAACCCCAATCACAAACCCTGTGCTGTGCTGTCTGCAAAACATTTTTGTTAATATCTTAAACTTCCAGAATAGTTCTTCTGGGGGACATTCAAAATGAATGTTTTGATATGCTTTGCCACTCAATACAATTCTGTTTATAAAGCACTAAATCACAGTTTTATATTTATATAAAATATAGAGTATATTTTAGGGTAAAGAACCTACAATAATGAAGAGAAAATCCCAACAATCTGATGACTCCCTATGAGTGAGTACTTGGCAACAGTGTGAAGGAAAAACTCCCTCTTAACAGGAAGAAAGCTTCAGAATTACCAGGAGCAGGGAGGGAATACCATGTGCCACGACCTTTAGGAAGTGATGAGGGAAGGAAGACCCAGTTGAGCATTTCTTTGAAATGGTGTACATCTGGGAAAGAGGCTTTGAGATGCATTTTTTCCTTGGTCATGTCAAAAGTGACACATGCTCATCACGTGTATAGTAACCATATATTTAAAGGAAGTCCAGGCCATGGATTAGCTGCTGTGTTCTCTGCAGGTTTCAGGCTGTTAACAGCAGCAGGTTTGCAGTTGAAAGACTACACCTAAACTTTCTTGCATGCCTCAAGAAAACAGCTCAACACCAGACTGATTTTGCAGCATGCAGCATTATAATTATGTTAACACTTGAAACCATGTTTTAATAACATTGTAATAAGTCTGTTAACTCCATATTTAACCAGCTTTCCTTCCTGGCTTTAAATAGACTTTATTGATATTGCACTTTTTCAGTCAAAACACTTAAAGCACACACACACATTCATAGGATTTTTTTTTTTTTAAATTACATACTGTACAGCGCGTTTTCGATCAGTCTCACACGCTGCTGATTGGCTGCAGCAGTGTTGCTTTCATCCGATATACTGTGTTTGAAATTTTTGCATTTTTGTGCCGATTTGATCGTCCTTAGGAAAATATACTGTTCTTCCACCAGTATTCCGGTTTGACAAATTCAGTCTGTGCATCTGCTTAGCCAGTCTGCTTATGTCAAGTTATCACAAAAAAAAAAATCCAAAAAAAAAAAAAAGAAATCGCAAGCTTGGCCAATCTCTGGTTCCTTACTAACCAGCATTTAGACTAATAATTTTTTCTAACTTAATTATAAATTTGCTGGAAAAGTGTTTTAAATTGTGGCTGAAATTTTTTTTTTAAATAAACATTTTTTTTGATCAAGTCTCCATGGAGATTTCACTGTGCAACTGACGTTTCCACCCACCTTTATTAAGCATTTCTTCATCAGCATTGTCAACAGCTTTATTCTTGTGCAAGATCTTTTTAAATGATTTGTGCCCAAATAAGACAATGAATTCCTCCATTTATAGACAACAGTGAGCATCTCTGCTTTCAAGTATGTTCATTTTAAGACCCAACTTAAAATGAAAAAGACAAAGCTTTATGTACGTGTAATTATTAAGCGCAGCATTCAAACTCCTCGTGTTAGTGTCACAAATCAAAGTGAAAAAGCGAAGGGATAATCTTTGTGTTGTTAAAATACAGGTCACATAGGTCCTACATCTCGACCTTCAAAAAACAAAACAAAAACAACAACACCCCCCCCCAAAAAAACCCCCCAAAACAAGCTTTGTTTGTTCTCAGATGTTCTGAAACATGCAATACTAAATTTTTCCTTTCAGAATGTAAGAATGTTGGAAAAAGAAACGCACCAGCAGGATCATCAGAACATTAAAAACAAACAAACAAAAACAAACAAACAAAAAAGAAACACTTTTTACAGATGAACTGAAAACAGCTCCATTTCCTTTTCTGCAAATGACGAGATCAAACCCAATAGAAATTATAGTATATTGCTATAAAGCACATAAAACAATAATTTAGAAGTAACTCTTGCTGTAAAAGTTGCCAAAACGTAAAGGCCTGTGTGCATGGGTGTGGCCCAAAAGCATATCTACAATGTCCAAAAAACCCCCAAAACACTAAAGGCTCAGTATTACAAGGAAATGTAGATATTTAAGGGGTGTAGGGTCCCATTAAACCACAAACCGGTAAGCAAAGTTGATTTATCTGACAAAAATATATGCGGTAGGACAACCGGCATACACATTACAGTACTGCATTATCACATCAGTCTCATGCAGGAGCATAGTGTGTTTCTACCATATATAAGTATAAATCAGCCCTTTAAATAAGAGTTGAAATGGGCTGCCATGCTAGCATCTACAGCTTCTATTATGGTAGGTTGTGTGTGATAGAAAATAGACTTCTTAAGGCAAGTATTTTCAGAAGAAACTTCTTCATATTGCCATCAGGGAGGCAAACATAATAATAAAGACGTGAGAAAGTTGATTAAAAGACATATCAATAATTTAAAGTTAACTTATGTTCTTCGAAAGGCAATACAAGGCATGTATCTGTTTACGAAATAAAAACGACAGGACATTTTGAGTGTTTCTTGCCGATTATAAAAAAAAAAGGAATTCCAATTAAAAAAAAACTTTTTTCCCCCCTCCACACTCTGCTAAACTGAGTCTCCCGTTGCATAATTTAGGAGCTGTTGGTGTCGGTGGCAGAGAAAACATACGCCACCTCTGTCGCAAGGCTCAGACTTGATCTAAAATGTTCCACTGGTCATTGGAAAGGATACTGAAAATGATCTAAAGACAACAGACTGTCATGCCAACACTGTCGCATGTAAAGGTTTGTCGATACCCTGGTCGGTTAATCTGACTGCTTTCAATCGCATTGTGCTGGTCAAAAATAACTACCGATCATCTCCACAGACTACGAAAGACAGCTTTTTTTTTTGTCCCAAGTTCACCACCAGAAATGGCTGAGAAACAGGCAGTGGATCTGCTTGTTTGTATGATCGGTCCATTCAAAGCAACAGGAGGATGAAGAGGTAGAGTGGAAGCAGCAGGTTGTCTATTTGGGAGGTGTAGGCTTCCAGCATGGCCACCAGAGTGATGGAGCCAACAATCCACGAGTAGGTGGTGTTCAGATTGATGCTGCTGTCAAAGATGAGAAACATGGCCACGGCGATGATCTGGGCGAACACAGATGTCGCAGTCCCCTCTAAGGTTTTCTTGGTGCCGGGCCAATGGATCTCCCCCATGGTACTGCCAAACACAGAGGCCACAGTGTCTCCAACTCCCACCGCGAGCACACCTGCGTAGGGCACCAGGCCACCTGCCCCTGGAAGTATTCCCTTAGGGGCACAGGGTCCAGGAAACAGCCAAATGGGCAAAGACATGCCCAGTAGCAGGTAAATGTGGGTGAGGATGAGAGGCCCAGAGTCCCGCTCGTCCAGGAACAGAGTGAGCAACTGCCTGAGCAGCTGACCGAAAGGCCTGATTCGAAAGTAACGCACATACTCCAAGAACAAGAAAACCGCCAGGCAACCCACAGATGCCACGTGGAGCAGCTGCCTGTCGTAGATCAACCCTGGAATGTAGGTGGCCACTACAATCAGATGGAAGTACTTCCTGACGATGGTCGACGCCTGGTGCTTCTTGGAACCCGACTGGCGCTGATAGTTCTGATGTAGCACAACGCAACTTGCCACGACAGACAGAAACACCCAGTACGCCAGCAGGCAGAGTCTCCTGTCATTCAACGTGATGAAGTCCAACAACCACATGAGGGGGTGGCGACCGATGAACAAAGACAGCCAGGGCATCAAGATCCCCAGACCCAGAACGGCTGTCATCATGTGAAAGAAGAGCGATGACCCCCAGCTCTCAGACTCCATGAAACAAAAGAGCAGGGCAAAGAAAACGCCCAGCAGCAGCGAGCCCACCACTAACACCGGGAGGAAATAGTTCACCGGGTCACCTTTGACCTCCGCCAGGTTCAGGGAGCGCTTGATTAGCTGGTTCACGATGAAGCTGATCCCACCGACAATGAGGAGTGCCTCTCCGGGCGTGAAGCAGCGTGGCAGCAGATAAAGCACAATCAGGCTGAGATAGACAAAGATCAGCAGCACCTCCAAGACCTCTATGACCTCAGACACCGTCAGGGTCTGCTTTGTGGTGTAGAGAATTGCGCTGCCGGCCATCCCTGCAATCACACAAGTGTTGGTGGGAACAGGTCTTGTGATTCCCAGTGCAATCAGGGAGAGGAACAGGGCTAGCATCATGCCTGTGATGGTGACCACCATGGAGAAGCGCTCAAAGTAGACATTCCCTGAGGCAGAGCACTTTTCTCTCAGTACCAGGCCCAACAAAGGCATCACCATAGAGGCCGGAACGATGCCGCTGTTCGCTGAAGGGCGAAACTGGAACACAGCACCCCCAGACCTGAGCAGACGGTCCCATTTATGCTGCACATAGAAAGCCTGTATCACCAGGGCTATGCTGCACCAGGAGTGCTGGTTCCAGACCGCCATGTGGACACATAGTACCACTGCCAAAACTACAGTGGACTCCACGTGCACCGGGTTGATTTGCATGGCTGCAGGGTGGGTGCTCACAAAGAGGGAGGAGGGTTGATCTGAACAGATGGTGTGCAGCAATGAAGGCCTTCTTCTGTCACTTCCTCTCTCTCACAGGCTTCATAATTTGGAAGGTAACTTTCCTTTGCTATGGATGTCCGAGGAAAAAGGGGAAAAAGTGTTAGCATTTAAGAGAAAAAAAAATACGGATCACAATAAACAGAATAATGTGAAAAAATTACAGATTCAAATGCTACTGTACTGAATGCTGAGTCTTTTCTTGCTTATTCTAACTCTGAACCTTGATCATGCTTTATCTGCTTCCTGCCATGAACTATGACCACACTGAAAATTCACCCCGTCAGTGAGAAATTCACACAGCTCAGATAGCACGAGTAAAAGGCCACACATGAAACACATGTTCTTTCCACATCAGCTGCAACCTTTTGTTCCTGTGGGGGTCGGAGTTTGAGCTGTCTGTGTAGTGTGAGTTCTGTGTCAGCTATGGAGGCTATGCTTAACAAATGGTTATGAAAGCTGAAGGATACATTAGGGAAAGAAAATCAAAACAATAGAACTCCAGTTTGTTTCATTCATTCATACAGCCCAATGGGGCCAGATAATTCTCCCTACACCGAGGAACGCGTCTCTCTGGCAGCCGAGGATGCTTTAACCTCTGACGGCATCAAGCTAACGGCAGACTAACAAGCTCACTGTACAGAGCTAGCAAAACGCCAGCAGTAACTACTGGCAGCACTGACGCACAATACAGGCTGACAAAGACAAGCGCACATACCATACAAGCGCTGCGTTGTCTGAGCGGACGTGTGCAGTGAATCGCTATGAATCGGTGCCGTCCTTTCTGGACAGATTTGTTTCCTTTGTCAGCTGTCGGTCCTCTCACACCCAGTAGGAGGGGGCCATCTTTGACAGCCGGGTCACGTGGTACACTAAAAAAGTATCTCTTAAAGTCGTTACTTTTAAAGATAGTTTTAAATTTACTTTTTAATCTTAAAATTTGTGAAATAATTATATCACTATAAAGCGCATACTTTAAATAAATAAATAAAAATATGTATTTATTTATTTTGGTCAAATTCAGACTTCTCAGGCTATTTTATACATGTAATACGTGAATAATTATTTGTAAAAATTAATTACCCGTAAGTCCAGAGGATCGCTTTGATACATGATATACTGAATTATGGAGTTAGGGGGAAACACAGAAGTTTTGCCAAAATGTAGCATAAATATTTTCGAAAAGGTATGGAGGCGATTAGGATGTGTTTATTTTACTCCAGAGGATGGCGTTAAAGTTGAACTCAGGACGGCCGCTGCTTCACGAAGAAGAACAAGGCGCCCAGCCGTTGGCTCCGAGGGTGACGAAGGCGCTTTCGACGTCACTGATGAGCCAGCACAACAACCAATCACATAGCAGACGCGAAGATGGCGGAATCGGAGATGAGCGTCAGGTAGGCACATAGCAACTTACTTTAGCTAAAGCGTGCGTTGTTTGAGTTATTTTTGCAGCGTTTTCCAGTGGGTATCGTTTCTACACAGCGCTCCTGTTTACTAAATCAGACCAGCAGTGATGTGTATATTTCACTTTTTGCGTTTGAGCAGTTAGCACCACGCTCACTTAGCTTAGCAAGTACTAGCCGCTAAAGATTTGAATGGCTTTTCAGTAGCGCGGTGTGCCAGCCGCATGTCAACAACAGCATACCGCCACTGCAAACTGTTTACATTAGATATTGTATTAACGGCGCTGGTTTATTTAAAGACACCGTACTTACAGCAAGATAAAGCCGTCGACTCTCCGTTGCATTCAGTAACCGCTGGGCTTGCTTAGTTGGTGTTAATTGAGAAGCTAACTCTACTGTTTTGATACGGTCAGGAAAACAGCTGAGTTAGGTTTAAAATCTTTAAACTTGACCTCCAAAACAAACTAAAAAGAGTTAGACTTGACAACAAATCGCAAAAGCCTATCCATCTCTGTAAGTACCGGTGACATCTCAAGTCTGGTCAAAAACTATGCTGCCATGGACAGTATTTTTATGTTGTTGTCCTAGTACCTCACCACAGTAGATGTAAAATAAATAACTAAAATGTCATCAAACTGCACACTTTGAGTTTTAATTTTGCACAAGGTTTACCAAAAAAGTTGCATTAACTGTGTAGGAATTACAGTGATTGCTTTAAATAGTCTGTTCATTTTCACACACTCTAAACTAACATGATTAGAAATATAAAGATAATCGTTATTTTTAATGCTTCCATGGAAATCTTTCTGGACCCTATGGACATACTGAGTTTCCTATCCTTTTTTTTTCTTCCCACAAAAAGTGAGTCATGTACGAAAATGGGGGAAGTGTTTATAGTTTTGGGAAGTAGGTCTGTCTTTTTGTTTGATGGCATCAGGGCAAGTTTGTTTTGCTTTGTTCGGTTTCTTTCAAACATGTAACCAATTCATAGAAAGTTTTTTTTTTTTTTTAATTGAACAAAAAATAGCTGTTTGTAAATAAACTAAAACAGGGTACAATATTGCTACACATTTGCTGATTTAGTTTACATATTTGAAAAAGGGTGGACAGAAGTGCACACTTATTAAATCCCACACCTTCATCCATCTTTAGTTAAAAGGCTCAGTTCTAATAACTGTAAAAACTTTAATGCATTAATCCCAATCGTTGCTTTTCTAAAATAAACCAATTTGTTTCCCAGGAGCTGTAGGGAATTATGGACCATATTGCTGGGGAGGTCTGCGTTGAGAGAGCCGGTATGTCCTTGTTGAAGAAAAGTGTCCAGCACATAACAAGTGTGCTGGACTCTTTACTGCTCCAAAAAATAGCTTGTTGTAATGTTTTCTTTTTTAAAGGTAATAAAACAATCACAGTGATTTTTCTCTCTGTTATTAATGTTGGATGGTCACAGGCTCAGATAGAGGTAGAGCTCGACAGACACTGGGATAGACTCCATCAAGGACTTAGTTACTACAAGCCACCCAGGTATAGTTACAGTTATTTTCACATCAAATTTACTGTAGTTAATAACCAAAAGGTAACTGCAAGCATCACCTGTTACAGCTCATCCTCTGCTGAGAAAGTAAAAGAGAAGAAAGATGTTGCACAGCCCCTGAAGGACTTTGGTATAAGGATCAGTAAATTATTGGTAAGACTTCAAAATGTCAATCAAGAATGATTTCCAGTCTTTATTTTGTAGTGTCTATTTAATGATGATTTCATGTTACAGAGTCTCGATGAACAGCAGAGTGTTCAGCTTTTGCAGTGCTACCTACAGGAAGACTACAGAGGAACCCGTGATTCATTAAAGGTATCTGTCCTGACAGATATTTTCATTGTGAAATCTGTCTGAACTCGTAGCTTTCAGTGAAACTGAGATTTGCCGTTGCATCACAGGAACAAAAAATGTAAGACCGTAAAAAGATGTTGTGAAAGACGTTTTGATGTTAAATGAATACCTTTTTTTTTTTTTTTTTTGTAGGTTGTACTCAAGGATGAGCGGCAAAGCCAGGCACTACTGCTTAAGGTCAGTACACGGATCTTCTGCTTTTCTTGACACAGCACATGTTTAGTTCAGTAAGTATGACAGCTTTTGTGTTTGTTTTTGCAGATAGCAGACTATTACTATGAGGAACGCATGTGTTTGCTCAGATGTGTCCTTCTCCTGCTCACATACTTTCAGGATGAGCGACATCCCTACAGGGTGAGAAGCTCCAGTCTTAGCATTACTCACTAAATTGTGGAACACAGCTTTTAAAAAACTAATTGTGCTTGGGATTGTTGTTGCTTTAGTAATGTAACCTTAGTTATGTTATGTTGTTTAGGCTGAGTACAGTGACTGTGTCAAAAAGCTGGAGAAGGACCTGGTGAGCAAATACCAGTTGCAGTTTGAGAGTCTCTTCAAGGCAGAGGCACCAACATGGGAAACTCACGGAAACCTCATGGTGATGACACAAGTTTGGTTGGCGTTGGCTTAATATCCTTCCTATTGTGAGGTAGCTGTGGGAGATATTTTCCTGTCAAGGATGCAAAATAATGTAGATATAATTTTTTTTCAGACGGAGCGGCAGGTGTCAAGATGGTTCCTGCAGTGTCTGAGAGAACAGTCTCTGCTGCTCGAGATCATCTTTCTGTATTATGCTTACTTTGAGATGAACCCATCTGACCTTCTGAACTTCACCAAGATGTTCAAAGAACAAGGCTTCGGTTTGCGGCAGACTAACAGACACCTGGTAGATAAGAGCATGGATGCGCTGGTCGACCGGATCGGGTAAGAGGCACAAAGTTTATGTGCGATTCATGTCTTTCCCAGATATTTTTAATTGACAGACATTATGAAGACATTTCAGTATTTTCATTATTACAGTGACATGATGTCTTCCTATACAGAGAGTAATCATCAGTTGATTCATATTCAATAGACTTTTTTTTACCGGATATGTCAGAAACCTAAATATTTCATTCCTTCCGTAGTTTATGATGTCCTGTCTGTCTCTCTGCCCGGCAGATACCTGAGCGCGCTCATCCTGGTTGAAGGAATGGACATAGACTTCCTGCACAAGTGTGCTCTTGAGGATTGTACAGATCAGCACCAGTTCTCTAGTGCTCCGGACGTGGTTAAGGTTCAGTTTGTTTTTTGGCTGCTGCATTCATAGACCTAATGTTAATATTGGTTCACAGACTTGTCTTACAAAGTGAAACATTTAAATAAATTAGGCTAAAATTGGCTAGGCTTCTGTTAACTCACGCAGAGCATATAATGAGAATGTGTTTAAATACTCATAAGAATTGTTGGCTCTTCTAGGAAATGGATCAGCTGCTGCTGACATTTGGTGACATCCCTCATCACGCACCGGTATTGTTGGCCTGGGTCCTGCTAAGACACACACTTAGACCAGATGATACCAGCCCTGTGATCAGGAGGATAGGCAACACCGCCCTCCAGCTGGGTGTTTTCAAGTACCTTTCAACCATGCTCAAAGGTCTTGGAGTCTCAGGGAACAATGTAAGATATTTCAGATTGATTGACCCTTTAGAAGTTTATAAGAAGCAAATTTACAAAAAAATTCTGTTCACTTAAAGGAGAACTCCCTCTGTCATCTGTTATGCTGCCTCTGTTATCTGACATAGCTTTAAATTATGTCCTGCTGATACACACCTTTGTTCTTTCACAAATCATAAGCCCTGCTTTAAATAAAGTCCATGCAGCATGAGCAGTAGTGGTAAAGAACGCTCAGGGTGCTTCTGTTTGTCATCAGCAGCTAATGAAATCACTAAGTGCGCAGATCTAAACCAATCTATAATGAAGTGTCCAGAATGAAAACCTCATGTTACAATAGTAATGTATTATACTGATCATCATGCATCAGTTTCCTTGTCAAGACCTGTGCTAAACTTCAGACCTCAGGTTTCATAATGATTTCTTTCAAAATCTGTAAAGTAATGCTGCACTTTTACAAATTATAGATAGAAATGTAAGTAGCAACCAACATTTGCTCAAAGAGTGGTGACTGTCTTGTTTTCCATTAAAATTCCATCATTTTTTTCACTTTTTATTTCTTCAGTGTACAGCAAGCACAGCAAAAATGTGCGTCTATGGTCTCCTCTCATTTGTGATCACCTCTTTTGAAGAAGAAAGTTTACAGGTATGCACCTTGACTCTACATGTCTTGATCCTCACAGACCTATTTATAACATGTGGTGATAATTTGCTTTCTTATGATGTATATTACAGACTGATGGTGTGGCGACTCAGAGCTCCCACCTTATCGATGCTGCCTGTGAGGTCCTTTCTGCTCCAAGTCTGGCTGAAATCTTTTGGGAATTGGTGGGAAAAGCACACAGAAGAGAATCTTTTATTAAAAATAAAATGGAATTGTAAATGTTGATGATGTATCTCGTTTATTAAA